GAACAGTTTTATTGATCCAATAAGCAGCAAGTTCCCTGCCACTACCTCCCCTTACTCTACAAAATGTGTACAGGTCTACAAAAGCAAATGGTTCTCTGAGGGGTACACATTTTGCTGTGGTATCACCATGTGGATGAATAGAGAATTTGGTTTTAATCTTCCATTTTTAAATTAAAATAATGTACAGAATAAGAATTACAAGCCAGCCCAATCTTTTTCAATGGCTTGGAGATCAAGTGTTAYATTGTGGAGGAAAAAATAATGCAAGCATTCAGTGTGGCATGTGGTAGATAAAATGCCTAGAAATAATCATGCAAATTAGAACTTTCTTTGTGAGTGACTTTCCCTTTTGTGCATATTTGGATGGCTTTAGTTCACTTGGTAGTGTATCTATCAGGACAACACCTCTTGGAGAATAAAATTTCATAAATTCATGATTTTCTTAATAGAGTCTGCTCTTAAACAACATAAACCCAGTTATGCTCTTCATATATTAAYTCAGAAGAATGAAAGAGCCTCAAAGTTGCTTATCTAAATCCAATTACTTCTGGTCATAATTCATTCCAGTACAAAAGTTCCCGAGATAACAGTATATATTACCTAAATGCACAGAAATTTGGCTTTTTCCAGTAGGGCGAATTCAGCTCTGTGCAGTGCATAAGGCCCTGAGTGAACCTGAACACTTGGGATGTAATTATTAACCTTGGAAACTGCGTTTGTTTAAAAAAGCAGGGAGACTTCTGTGAACAAGTTACTTGGACTTAAATCATCTTTTAAATTTTCAAATCAACACGACCCCCAATTTAAACTTGACTTAAAATACTAATTCCCTCATTCTGGTTAGGGCTTCAYGTTTCGTACGTGTCCAAGCTCCTTAACATGTTTTTAGATACACAAGAATTGCCGTGTCCGGCTGGCATGGAGGCCACCTGGRAGGTGGTGACTCTGGCAGGAATGGGTCCAGTCCCGTGTGTCCCTCAACACCACCCAATGCCAGGGCTCAGGACACGCAGTGGCCAAGCAGGGAGCTGGGGTGCGCGGAGGTTGCACCCCAGCATCCTCAGTCATCCTTTACTCACRCCCTCACCGTGCCGTGCTTGGCATGGAAAACCCTTTCGTACCTGCAATCAACTACTTTCTAAATACATCACCTGAAAATCATCCTAAACGCGTTGTTGAAATACAGGATTGAAGGGACTAAAAATAAGCAAGTAAAAGATGTATTTGTGCTTTGCTACACTGTTAAATAACAGCGTGGGAAGAGTGTAGTGAGAAACAAGGGATTAGTCTAGCAAGCTGGAAAGAAATTCCTCTGAATGGAAATTTCAGCTCAGATTTTCGGTCGACATATTCCTGAGGTAGCAGTCTCACGGATTCGTAACATCTATTCCCTCTGATACTGTAATGCAGTGGGATTACCTTGATGATACAGTCATTATATTGAAGGGGTAGTAATAAGGTATTGAGATGAACTCAATTCCACAATTATCATTTTCTGGCCAGAGCTTTTGATTCAAAAAGCTTTGAAAGATACCTCTGTGCACTATAATTCTGGAGGAAATTAGATGGTGCTCTTGTTTTCTCATGCATGCCTAGTAGTTTTTGCATTAATAATGCCAATACTTTGTAGCACAAAAGCGCGGGCTGTTGGGTTTCATAGTAGTTGCCATTTGAGTCCAAGAGACTTAAAGGGCAGCTCTTAAGYAGCATTTTTATTCTTATTTCGATGAGCGCCGCACTTGAGGAATACATTTTTGGCATTTCTGGGTGGATAAGATCGCTTTGACAAAGCTCACACAATGGGGAAGCCAAACGCCGTTGAGAAGGAAGTGTAACTTTATACCACGCTCCACACGTGCAAGAAGAAATACATTTGTAGGAATGGAGTATGTGCCTGATTGCATGCAGCACACACGTTAACATTCCTCATCACAGCTGACATTCTGATTACTGTGAAATAATTGCTTGAAATATTTAGGAGAACTCTTCCAATTAATTCTAATTACTTTCTTGTGGTAGAGCTCCAGGTTTATAGCTGTAGATTAAAGTGAAAGGCCTACATGCAGCTAATTGCCGTATAGCCGTGTGTTGCTGTGGCACCTTTACTGCTCTGGTGGCTGTTTTCTCAAGCACTTAGCTGTGCAGTAACATTATGGGTTTGAGAAGCCTCTTGTGACGTGAGCAGAGTTTCTTCCATGAGTAAAATCTCCCAAATAACTGGGTGTTTRCAGGATCGGAGTGTGTGACAAGTAACTCTGGGAAGCCGGGAATAAAAGCAGTGGAGCCACAAATGTCTGTCTGTGCTGGCAAGAAGTGGTCGCTCTGCCTTCTCACATGCCTTGGATGAAGCCGCACATCAGTTTATGAGGAGTGGCCCAGCTAAAATGGAGGCCGGGTGTTAGTTTTTGTTGGCAGAGGCTTAGGTAGGGGCTGGATTTTATTTGAGGTTGCTGTGGGTTAGCCACTGATTTTTGTTGGGTTCTTTTTCCATGTAACTGTCAGAGGCCCTTTACTGTACAAGGCAGGCGTGTTTTTACATGTTTTTTGTGCATTTGAGTCTAAATCAAATAAATGAAGAGCCAGTGCATGGGCCAGATCTCCCCCTGGGCAGGTTGGCCCACAGAAGAGTCGTAACTCATCCCGGCAGCGGGCTTGGCTATGCCTTCCTAAGGGATGCGCTCCAACGTCTCCGAGGCCAAAGTCAGCTCTAGGTATTATCATGAGGAATTATATAACCAAGTGAAACGAACGTAAGGGAGTATAAAGGCCCCAGTTCTTGAAGCCCTTGACGTTAGCAAAGCCTGTGATCTCAGTGGTGAACGCGTTACAGCTGCTATGTGTGTCTCTGAAGCGTAGCCAGGCAAAACAGGGCCTCAGCTGCCTGTCCATGTAACCCATCGTGGCGGGTTGTGGGATGGAAGTACAYCTGCTTTTGGAGCACGAGATCCCACCTATCCGCAGGGCAAGCCTAACAGGGCCCAGCGTTGTACGTGGCACAAACCAGTAACGTCTTTAGTTCAGTTTGCCCTCTTCGTGTTCGCTGTCTTTCAGACTGGTTTCTGTCTGAAATACAAAATTTAGTATCCCACCTCAAAATGAAAATCAAATGGAAACAAATGCTTCTACCAATTGTTAAAGAAAGGAGAAATGGTGAAAATAGGAGACCATATAAATGGTCCCAATTTACGTTATGAACAAAAAATGGGGTAATAGGTGAAAAAGACAGTGGCCTTTCCCTAAAGCTAAGTGGCAATGTGTTACCTACCTTGTAGAAACTTCAACTGAGAACTTTGTCTACAGGGCATTAAATTACCTGAAGTTTTTCCTCCTGGTATTAGCAAGTGTTTGAGGCGAGCTGTCCTCAGTCCCTTCTGTTGCTGCTTCTCTCTCTTTCGTGAGATGTTTAAGTCTCCATTAGAGGCCAGACTAATACCCAAAGGAGCCATTTTCCAAATTGGTCCGTCTCTGGTTCACTCTTTCTCTTCCTTTTTCATTTTTTTTTCCCCGTTTCAATGGGTGTGCTGGACAGAAGAGCAAGGGAGAGCAGGGCACATCCTTGAATATAGATGCTCTGGCTCTGGCTGCCCTTGGCACCCTCTTTTGTGTAGCAGAATACACAGGCTCAGCTTTCATCCTGAGGCAGAGAGGGGAGTTGCGGCCAAGTCTTTCACATTTTGRTTGCCAGACTTCAGGCAAAAGTCACAAGCACCAGATTTGTATTGATGTTAATAAAGATTAACCAAATAAAAATTTGTTTGTCATATATCTAGGTGCTTTTTGGTCCATTTGATGTTGATTCACCTATGGAAAATAATCTAGTGTGCTGCTTTGCTGTTAGGAGGTGTAGTTTTATTGTTCTCTTTTGTGTAGTAATAGGGAATCATGGAATAGTTGTGGTTGGAATGGGACTCTGGAGATCATCTGGTCCAATTTCCCTGCTGAAGTAGGGTCACCTAGAGCAGGTTGTCCTTGTCCCGTTAGGCTTTGAGTATCTGCAAGGATGGAGGCTCCACAGCCTCTCAGTAATCACAAATCTTGTGTTTTATGGGAATGACTTTCCGAATGAAAGCTGAAAGAGTCAGAATACTTTATGTGCATTATTATTCTGGCAAAAGGAAGTTTTGGTGTTCTAGGCAGGAACTCTTCGATAACTCAGAGACTGAAATGTAACAATGACTTGAGAAATAAAATTACTTCCCCTATCCCCTCAATTCTTATATTCAGCTTTAAATAACCCTTTTCTGTGATTTCTTTAGTAGGAGTTAAGAGATACTGACTGCTAAATCTCCACTTCTGGTCTTCATCTCTGTAAGGTGAAGACCTGGTCTAGTTGCTTGATGTAACAAGCTGCAGCTGCCCAGTGGCATCCAAATTGTCCCTTCAGCATGTCAATGATAGGGATTTGCCTTGCAATACTGCATTATCTATGGGCACTGGCATATATTCAAATAAGTACCACTTGGAAAGAGTTAGGAGATGTATATAAATTGTAATTAAAAAATTGTAAATGTAATAAAACTCAAAAGTTTCTAAAATAGAACTTGAGCGAATGTGTAAGCAGGTGTATGTGCCTCTGTGTGCCTGTAAATAACCAACCATATCTTTTTTTCTTTTAATTTTTCTGTAGATCCTGGAGCAATCTGGTCCATCTGTATTAAAACAAACCTTATTTGGCATCTCAGAATTAAAAATGCATTATTAAGCAAGGCTAATTTAGTTAACCAGAGGAATATCTTTAGCAATACTGGCATCCTCAACTCTCTGCTCTAATTGGCATTGATGCCAGGCAGTGATCAGAGGGGAACAGGGTATGGCAAAAGACCAGGGCTTTGCCACTGGACTCCAAAGGTGTTTGTTGAACTCAAGTGAACTCAAGTCTGCAGGAGCATCAGGCGAACACTCTTCAAGAACGCTACATTTCTTTYTTGTGTGCGTGGAAAAATCTGTGTTTATAATTATAGAATAATGACATGAATGTCTCTCTTTTACTTTCTTTTTAGGTATGGGAAAATCGTATCCACAAAGGCAATCCTTGACAAGAACACAAATCAGTGCAAAGGTATGTACAGAAAGTCCTCCCTGCGAGTTCCGTGTCTGTGTGAGTGATTGACGGGTGGCTTGACTGCCAAGGCTTTGGCTCCAACTGTGCAATCAACATAATGTGCGGTATATTGCAAACATATTTAATAATGGCAATGCTTTGAGTTGTGTTTCCAGTAACATTTCTCATTAATTTTTTTCATTAACAAACAAAATGAAAATCACAAATCAGAACAAGTATCAAATTGCTTCGGCAGAAAAGTAAATTACCTTCTAACCACATAGTGCAGTCTGATTTGAATGATATCATCAGTGATGCAAATTGATTTCCTATATGAAAACAAAAAAACCTTTGGGAAAACTTTCACAAGCAATATCAGGTTTACTTTTTTTACCTTGTGGTGTTATGGCCTGCACTGTTGGAGGAAGAAAATATTCCTTGTAACGCAGATAGGTTTGCGAGTTGGGATACTGAGATATGAAAATGACTCCTCTTCCAATTTCAGTTCTTTGCTAACGTATTAGAGCACTTCTTTTAGTAAAATATAGCATGCTAGATACTTGTATGTGTGTGTATATGTATTTGGCTATATCTGTCAGGATAAATATTGTCTAAGATATGTAGAAATATCTCAAGACTGAAATTACTATTTGTTTGCCAGTCTGAAGAGCCATCATTTTGTGGAAGCTTTGTTTTAAAATGGCTCCGTGATACCACATGAGTGATATACACAATCTTTTGGGAGTAATAGGATCTGCTAACGTGGATCCTTCACATAAGAASCACATTCTGGACAGCATTTCTGTATGATTTTGTTGTACAGGAATATCTCAGTAGTGGCAAAACAGGGTGTGAGGAGAGGCAGAGAAAGACATCAGCGGAAATTATGAGAAGAATCCTGCCAGCTGTAGCAAAGATGTTCTTGCTGTTTGTAGAAGTGTGTTGGCACTTTGCATAAAATCACACATACAAACATGTGTGGCAGACCCCTTGTCTGCCAGCAAGAGCATTCGTTAGCTGGAGCTGTGTGCGATAGGAAGGGCTTGTGGATCAGAGGAGCCAGGGAATGGGGCTCCGGGGCAGGGAAGAGCTGGGCACTCAGGAACAGGATGGCTGGAAGACCAGAATTACTGGATGAGAGGGATGAGAAGTGGCAGTGCTGCGATAGGGTAATTTGGGGTTATCTTGGTAACCTCAGGGTTGAGATGGTCTTCACCATCTTGCAATCCGACTAAGAATTTTGTCTGGTGATGGGGACATGTGGGTCTTTTTTCCCTTTCCCATCATCACAGAGGACTGACTTCATTGTCCTTTCAGGTGTCAGCTTCATCATTTTTTTATCTTTTTATTTATTTTTTTAATGTAGTTACCAGAAATGGGCAACAACCAGGATGGAGTTGGTCTRGATTTCAAAGCCTGTCAAATAATCAAAAGAAACTTTCCAAATAATCAAAAGAACTTTCCAAAAGTGAAATATATTTGTGTGTGTTGATCTTGGTTGTCTAAAGCCGTGGTGCTCTGTGGAGCACCTGGAGCTTGCTGGAGCAGATCTGGGGACAGGTGCATTGTAGTTGGCCCTGATCTTTTTTAGAAAAAGCCTGCACGTTAGTGGTCTCCCCAACCACTCCTACAAACATGGTAGGACACGATCAGAATTTCTTTTCATTCCCRTTGCCTGTGGTAAATGACATGAGGAATAGATTTGTTTGCAAAACAGGAAAACGTGAAGTGAGAAGAGCGTAAAGAATATGAATGAGAGAATTTAGAAAAGAATAAACATCTGGGTTTGGTGCCATTGATACTGTAGTTTGTTTAGATATTATTGTAGTAGGAGCTGTATGGCAGTGAGTTGGAATGTTTAAAAGTTTACTTTCCTGCTGTGTTATTATACTGTAGGGCAGAAAGATATATTTATTTGTATTTTCAAAGATGGATCTTTATGACATAAGTAGTACCATTAAAAGATCATAAACATAATTGGATTTATTAACAATATGCTTCATGGAACAAAAAAAAAGAAATGGATGTATTGCTGCTTTAAATGCTGGATACAATTTCCTTCTTCTTCAGTAAATTTACCAAAAAATAAAGTAAAAAAAAAAAAAAAAAAAAGTTCATAGAAGTCAGAACTGGAAGGGACCTCAGGAGGTTGTCTGGTCCTTTCCCCAGCCTCAGGCTGGGATCAGCTCTACCTAAACGGCTCCTGACAGATGTTTGTCTAAGCGGTTCTCCAAAGCCTCCAAAGGTGGAGATTCCACAGACTCCTTAGGCAATCCGTTAGRGAGCTCGCTATCCTCACGGTAATAAAGCCTTTCCTAATGTCTCCCCTAAATCTCCCCTGATGCAATTTAAGCCTCTTGCTTCTTGCCTCATGCCCAACGGCCGTGCAGAGCAGTTCATTCCTTGCCTCTTCGCAGCAAACCTGTACGCGTTTGAGGGCTGCTCTGGGCCTGTCGTGCCTTTTCTTTAGACTAAACACTGCTCGTTTCCCTCTCTCCGTAGAGGTCCTTTGTGTCGTGTTTGGGCTCATACTGCATTCCACTGCTCCCGGGCTAATTAGCTCATGTCCTTCCCGGCACGGAGCAGCAGGCAGCCCCAATCCCACCCTTTTCACTAGTGTCAGAAGGTGGTTCCATTTGTCCCCGGTGCTCTTGGTTGTGTGCCTGTGTAATGAATACGTGTGTGTCTATATATATACATCTAATTTAAATATATATATAGATGTGTATGTTTTCTTGCTGTGCAGGGTGTTGCATGCCCTGTGCTCAGCGAGCGTCCGCATCCCGCGGCTGCGGGCGCTGCTGCCAGCCAGGCATTCCTTATGGGACCAGACTTTGTGCTCCTGATTATTCCCTTCTTGAGCTAGTCCTTTTCATTAGCCTGTATTGAATTTTATCCTTATTTATTTATTTATTTATTTATTTATTTATTTATTTATTTATTTATTCCAGGCTATTCCTTAATTTGCTGAGATTATTCTCAAATCTTAAATCCATAGAGTGCCTGCCACGCTGAGCTCTTCAGCATCCTCCTTACAGCTCCTAAACGACTTCCCCAATCCATTAGACAAGGTCGTTTTGAAAGGCTGAGCAGAATCCCGCCTGGGAAGGGACTTTGGAGGAACCCCTCTCRCTACAGCAGACGCTCCGATAGCGAGCCAAGGGGAGCTGCTTTTTTAAATTGGATGTGCCAGTCAATCTGGCACCCCCGTCACTGCCGTTTGAGCTGGCTTCTCTTTCTGCCGCCTGTTTGTGCTGTGAGGGACAGCCAAGGTCTTCCCAAAAGACCTTTCCCTTCCCAACGTGCAGAGCCCTTCGTTGTCCGCGCACGAGCGACGTGCCTGGAGGGTTGGCACGAGCTGTCCTGGGAAATCCGTACCGGGTGTTAGCGCTCGCCAGGTATCCGCCGGGGTCTCTCAATGGATTTATGGGACTATTTGTTCTGAGATGTTTTCCAGAAGTTGGAACTGCGTTAAAGTGGCTCCAATTCATGGGGACCTACATTCCTTCAGCCTTAAAAAAACAAAACCAAACCGAACGCAGACATTTTCGGTGTTCCCTTCCCATCTTCCGGATCTCCCTCGTCTTCCATGAAGTATGAGATTTTCTGGTGCAGGAGCRCAGCATCCTGTGATGTTCACAGGGTGCAGGAGAATGGATTAAATTTGAGCAGAGGATAAGGAAATTCTCGTGTAATTGGAGATTGCAAGTCACATTTCAGCATCTTTGGTGTTTTGCCCAAGCTATTTAGTCARTCTCAAAATGTAAAATGCAAAGAAACAAAAATAAAGAAATAAAAAATAAAGCAAAGAAACGATTTCAAGCAAGGCGTGCATCCATATGCACATCTGTTAAGGCGGGCTACTGCTTAGGTTTCCTCTGTCAAAAATGAGGAACGCGTTCTGAAATGGTTTCATTTACTCCCCAAACAAAAACAAAAAAGATTTTCTGAAGGCGAGACCCTCTGCTCACRGTGCTAAGGAGTAGGGTTAGATGAGGAAGTTTCCCTGCTCTGAATTAAGCAGTTGCGTCTAAAGAAATCATCTCTGCTTCGAGAGGGTTCACGAGAGGGAAACCTTTCGAGGTGACCTCTCGTTTGGAGACAGTTCTTTGTTGGTGGCATGGACGCTAAGCGAGGCATCGCAGCAGCACCGCGCGCTCCGTAAGGGAGCAATATATAACACCAAATGAGCCCGGTCACGACAAAATGGCCAGAAATCACTGAACAAAGCCGGGAACAATCACATATGGAGAATAATGAAAAACAGGCACGATTCATTCAGATGTTCAAACACACACACAAAAAGAAACCCCTAATGAACGAGTTGGAGAGTTCTGGCTGCTTTGGCGTTTTCCTCTCCCTCCCCTCCTTCCCTCAGCCCCGTGTGCGCTTCCCTTCAGGGTCTACTGGATTTGCTGAGTTAAAAAGTGGGGGAAATGAAATAAAAGAGCCCTTGAGAAGAAGCAGGGAAACTGGCCATGCCGACTCTTCCCGGCGCRGCCCTTTCCCCGCGGCTGCTCCAGGCTGCTCCGCGCGCAGCATATGGACGGCTTCCATAGCTGCTAGCCGAGGAATAGGGAGCAGTTAACCTGCCAAGTGCACAGGCCCCTTCCTTAGCCCCTGAGTGCTGTCATCCGCACCTGCCCTTGCAGGCACTTCATTGCACGCGGGCAGATTTACTTCCCGGTTTAATCAGGAGCTCCTGTTATTTTGGGCACTTTGTTAGGAACTGGGAAGATGGGAAGGGGAGAATGACTAAAAGTCTTAAATCCCACCTGTGGGATTTTTTTTTTAATAAATAAAAGCTCTGAATCACAGTAATGTGTAGGAGACAAACACTTCAACTGCATATTCTTCATTTTATGTATATTTTTCAAACCATGCGCGACTTGATTTGTTGGCTGGGAGTGTTTGCCTTAGGAGAGAAATGTGCCTAACCTGATGAGGGGAACTGTAGAGACTCTGTTTATAATGTTAATATTTCATTAAGACATTTTTCTTGTCAAGAAACCTGTTGT